TAGGGTTTGTGTGGCCGAATTTTATGTTTTCTATGTTATACTTTGTGGATGGCTTCTCGTCTGTTTTCTGTTAGTCATGGAAATGGTTTCCCACTTGTAGGGTTTGTGTGCCCCAATCTTATGTTTTCAATGTTATACTTTGTGGACGGCTTCTTGTCTGTTTTCTGTTAGTCATGGAAATTGTTTCCCACTTGTAGGGTTTGTGTGGCCAAATCTTATGTTTTCTATGTTATACTTTGTGGATGGCTGCACGTCTGTTTTCTGTTAGTTATTGTAATGGTTTCCCCCTTGTAGGGTGCGTGTTGCCCAATCTTTAGTTTTCTGTGTTATACTTTGTGGATGGCTTCTCGTCTGTTTTATTTTAGTCGTGGTTATGGTTTCCTACTTGTAGGGTTTGTGTGGCCCAATCCTATGTTTTCTATATTATACTTTGTGGACGGCTGCAGGTCTATTTTCTGTTAGTTATTGTAATGGTTTCCCCCTTGAAGGGTTCGTGTTGCCCAATCTTTAGTTTTTCTATGTTATACTTTGTGGATGGCTTCTCTTCTGTTTTGTTTTAGTCATGGTAATGGTTTCCCACTTGTAGGGTTTGTGTGGCCTACTCGTTAGTTTTCTATGTATTTATTTTTAGACGGCTGCACGTCTGTTTTGTTTTAGTCATGATAATGGTTTCCCACTTGTAGGGTTTGTGTGGTCCAATCTTATGTTTTCTATGTTATACTTTGTGAATGGCTTCTCGTCTGTTTTGTTTTAGTCATGGTAATGGTTTCCTACTTGTAGGGTTTGTGTGGCCCAATCTTATGTTTTCTATGTATACCTTGGTGGACGGCTGCACGTCTGTTTTCTGTTAGTCATGGAAATGGTTTCCCACTTGTAGGGTTTGTGTGGCCCAATCTTATGTTTTCTATTTTATACTTTGTGGATGGCTTCTCGTCTGTTTTGTTTTAGTCATGGTAATGGTTTCCCACTTGTAGGGTTTGTGTGGCCTACTCGTTAGTTTTCTATGTATTTATTTTTGGACGGCTGCACGTCTGTTTTGTTTTAGTCATGATAATGGTTTCCCACTTGTAGGGTTTGTGTGGTCCAATCTTATGTTTTCTATGTTATACTTTGTGGACGGCTTCTTGTCTGTTTTCTGTTAGTCATGGAAATTGTTTCCCACTTGTAGGGTTTGTGTGGCCCAATCTTATGTTTTCAATGTTATACTTTGTGGACGGCTTCTTGTCTGTTTTCTGTTAGTCATGGAAATTGTTTCCACCTTGTAGGGTTCGTGTTGCCCAATCTTATGTTTTCTATGTTATACTTTGTGGATGGCTGCACGTCTGTTTTCTGTTTGTTATTGCAATTGTTTCCCCCTTGTAGGGTTCGTGTTGCCTAATCTTTAGTTTTCTATGTTATACTTTGTGGATGGCTTCTCATCTGTTTTATTTTAGTCGTGGTTATGGTTTCCTGCTTGTAAGGTTTGTGTGGCCCAATCCTATGTTTTCTATATTATACTTTGTGGACGGCTGCAGGTCTATTTTCTGTTAGTTATTGTAATGGTTTCCCCCTTGTAGGGTTTGTGTTGCCCAATCTTTAGTTTTTCTATGTTATACTTTGTGGATGGCTTCTGTTCTGTTTTGTTTTAGTCATGGTAATGGTTTCCCACTTGTAGGGTTTGTGTGGCCTTCTCGTTAGTTGTCTATGTATTTATTTTTGGACGGCTGCACGTCTGTTTTGGTTTAGTCATGATAATGGTTTCCCCCTTGTAGGGTTTGTGTGGTCCAATCTTATGTTTTCTATGTTATACTTTGTGGATGGCGTCTCGTCTGTTTTGTTTTAGTCATGGTAATGGTTTCCTACTTGTAGGGTTTGTGTGGTCCAATCTTATGTTTTCTATGTTATACTTTGTGGACGGCTGCACGTCTGTTTTGTTTTAGTCATGATAATGGTTTCCCCCTTGTAGGGTTTGTGTGGTCCAATCTTATGTTTTCTATGTTATACTTTGTGGATGGCGTCTCGTCTGTTTTGTTTTAGTCATGGTAATGGTTTCCTACTTGTAGGGTTTGTATGGCCCAATCTTATGTTTTCTATGTTATACTTTGTGGATGGCTTCTCGTCATTTTTGTTTTAGTCATGGTAATGGTTACTCACTTGAAGGGTTTGTGTGGCCCAATATTATGTTTTCTATGTATACCTTGGTGGACGGCTGCACGTCTGTTTTCTGTTAGTCAGGGTAATGGTTTCCTACTTGTAGGGTTTGGGTGGCCCAATCTTATGTTTTCTATTTTATACTTTGTGGATGGCGTCTCGTCTGTTTTCTTTTAGTCATGGTAATGGTTTCCTACTTGTAGGGTTTGTGTGGCCCAATCTTATGTTTTCTATGTATACCTTGGTGGACGGCTGCACGTCTGTTTTCTGTTAGTCATGGAAATGGTTTCCCACTTGTAGGGTTTGTGTGGCCCAATCTTATGTTTTCTATTTTATACTTTGTGGATGGCTTCTCGTCTGTTTTGTTTTAGTCATGGTAATGGTTTCCTACTTGTAGGGTTTGTGTGGCCCAATCCTATGTTTTCTATATTATACTTTGTGGACGGCTGCAGGTCTGTTTTCTGTTAGTTATTGTAATGGTTTCCCCCTTGTAGGGTTCGTGTTGCCCAATCTTTAGTTTTCTATGTTATACTTTGAGGATGGCTTCTGTTCTGTTTTGTTTTAGTCATGGTAATGGTTTCCCACTTGTAGGGTTTGTGTGGCCTACTCGTTAGTTTTATATGTATTTCTTTTTGGACGGCTGCATGTCTGTTTTGTTTTAGTCATGATAATGGTTTCCCATATATAGGGTTTGTATGGCCCAACCTTATGTTTTCTATGTTATACTTTGTGGACGGCTTCTCGTCTGTTTTGTTGTAGTCATGGTAATTTTTAGTCACTTGTAGGGTTTGTGTAGCCCAATCTTATGTTTTCTATGTTATACTTTGTGGACGGCGTCTCGTCTGTTTTGTTTTAGTCATGGTAATGGTGTCTAGCGCAAATACAAAATTTCAATCCTGTTATCTATGATGAGTTAATCGATGCCACTGCTGGTGGAGTTTTTATTCCCCGAGAGTATCACCAGTCCAGTAGTCAGCACTTCTGTCTTGACTTGAATTTTTATTGATATGGTCATAATTATAAATTAAATGTTTACAAAACTTTACATTTTTGAAATACTAAGGCTTTTCTACCTAAGGAATAGATTACCTTAGCTGTATTTGGCAAAACTTTTAGGAATTTTTGGTCATCAATGCTCTTTAACTTCGTACTTTATTGGCCTTTTTAACTTTTTTTTATTCGAGCGTCACTGATGAGTCTTTTGTAGACGAAACGCGCGTCTGCCGCAAATACAAAATGTCAATCCTGGTATCTATGAGGAGTTTATTTATTTACCACTTGTAGGGTTTGTGTGGCCCAATCTTACGGTTTCTATGTTATACTTTGTGAACGGCTGCACGTCTGTTTTCTGTTAGTTATTGTAATGGTTTCCACCTTGTTGGGTTCGTGTTGCCCAATCTTTAGTTTTCTATGATGTACTTTGTGGACGGCTGCACGTCTGTTTTCTGTTAGTCATAGTAATGGTTTCCCACTTGTAGGGTTTGTGTGGCCGAATCGTTAGTATTCTATGTATTTCTTTTTGGACGGCTGCACGTCTGTGTTGATTTAGTCATGGTTATGTTTAGTCACTTTTAGGGTTCGTGTTGCCCAATCTTAAGCTTTCTATGTAATACTGTATGGACGTCTGCACGTTTGTTTTGACGTAGTCATGATTATGTTTTTTTTTTCATTTTTAAGGTTCGTGTTGCCCAATCTTAAGTTTTTCTATGTTATAATTTGTGGACGCCTGTTTTCTTTAAGTCATCGTAATTTTAGTCACTTTTAGGGTTTGTGTTGTCCAATCTTTAGGTTTTTAATGTAATGAATGATTTGTGGACGTCTGCACGTCTGTTTTCTTTAAGTCATGGTAATGTTAAGTCTCTTTTAGGGTTTGTGTTGCCCAATCTTTAGCCTATATGTTATACTTTGTGGGCGGCTACTCGTATGTTTTGATCTAGTCATAGTAATGTTTTCCCACTGTTAAGGATTCGTGTTGCCCAATCTTTAGCCTATATGTAATACTTTGTGGGCGGCTACTCGTATGTTTTGATTTAGTCATGGTAATGTTTTCCCAGTTTTAGGGTTCGTGTTGCCCAATCTTTAGATATCTATGTAATACTTTGTGGGCGGCTACTCGTATGTTTTGATTTAGTCATAGTAATGTTTTTCCACTTTTAGGGTTCGTGTTGCCCAATCTTTAGCCTATATGTAATACTTTGTCGGCGGCTACTCTTATGTTTTGATTTAGTCATGGCAATGTTTTTCCACTTTTAGGGTTCGTGTTGCCCAATCTTTAGCCTATATGTAATACTTTGTCGGCGGCTACTCGTATGTTTTGATTTAGTCATAGTAATGTTTTTCCACTTTTAGGGTTCGTGTTGCCCAATCTTTAGCCTATATGTAATACTTTGTCGGCGGCTACTCGTATGTTTTGATTTAGTCATGGTAATGTTTTCCCAGTTTTAGGGTTCGTGTTGCCCAATCTTTAGCCTATATGTAATACTTTGTCGGCGGCTACTCGTATGTTTTGATTTAGTCATTGTAATGTTTTCCCACCGATTTGGTTTTCTGTCTTAGAATTATCACCTGTGATTGTTATTTCTTATCAGCATCTTAACCGATTTTATTCAATGTTGAATATAAATAAAATCAATGAATAACTCTATTAATCTAAGCAAGTGAGAAGCGTCATGTTGTCTCCTTGTTGGATTACACCCTGTTAACAAGATGATAATAGATGATATGTTTGTAATATGTTTGTCTGATTCATTGTGCGAATGGTGTGAATACGTTCATTGATTTAATAGCAAGTCCTTCTTTAGTTTTTTTTATAGAATGTATGCAGCTGTTGCAATGAGGGAATGGCCACTGATAAAACCATAAAAAAAACATTACATAATATTTGATTTATTTTTTTATAACTATCATTTAAAATGATCACATACAGTTAAATAAATGTTCTACAATATGTTTTTCAATTTCATTAGAAATTGGTCACTAAACTGTTCCTCCAGAACAAAACACCGACTGAGCAAGGTTTTGAACCCTTGAAAAGTAAACATATCAGTATAGACGGATGAATTTTCTTATCCTTAATATGTTTCGTTTACTGAAGGATTTTACAAAATTGAAACATATTTCAACTGATTAAACAGATTTAATTCAAAAACAGAAAGATGTAAAAACAAATAATTAATCGTATATATATGAATGGAGTTCATCTGATATTTTCAAAACGTTGTATATATTGTTCTAGATACTTTCAATGAAGATCATACTGAATGAACATACATTTGCCTTCAATGCTATTAAACCAGGGGCGGATCCAGGATTTTAGGTTAGGGGAGGCGCAAACTTAAACTTTCTCCGAGCGGAGCGAGTCGAAAAAAATTTTTGAGGTAAAATTATCGATATATTCTTTATTAAACTGAGGACAACCCATGCTTTGCAAATTTTAGGGGGGGCGCAGGCCCGGCACGCCCCCGCCTGAATCCGCCCCTGCAAACTTATAAAGTTCTGTATTAGATTTATACCGTGTCTAATGACCACTTACTTTATTTGTTTGTTATTTTGAAATTTACATGTAATATCTGTTATTTATAAACATACAAACATATTTAAAATACTCTCCATTTGTTACAACGTCGTCAGATATATGACAGTAGCTCCGTTGTTATAACAAAAAAGTTCGACCTTTTTAAAATCTATTTTGAAACATATTTTCTGACCTACTTCCCTGACGTATGAATCTATTCTGATAGTCTACCTTATTTTACATTAATAAAACTATATTGCATCTCATCTGCATGTGATTCTACAGTTTGTGTACTGTAACACAGGTTGGCTTAATTTGATTATCTTAACAAATAGAATTTACCGGGAATGTTTTTTCACCCCTCACCTCTTTCTAGGGTGATATTGTAATCACGTGAGCTTTTAAAGCATAATCAAACTCTGGCATACTACCTCCCTAGCACAAAACACCAACTTTATCACATTTAAGTTGTGCATTGCAAAGCCAATTCATTTGTTGTGTCTTTTTTTTTGTTCTCATTTAAATCTTTGGTTATCAAAAAAAATAGTCCTAACGCTGGATTTCTCTTTTGCGTAATTGACGTTGTTGTTTGGTACGTTGATGAAAAGAATGCACCAGAATAAATATAGTTTTCATATATATTTTAGCATGCAATACTTTATATTTTAAACATATATCACAGTTACTAAATATCACAAAACAGTCATTTTAGTCTAATCTATAAGTTGAAAACATCGCGGTGCTTTATTGTTATCCAATACGCCGTTTCAGAATTTTAAGGGCTATACGCTGTTTCCTTTGATAATGCTTTCATTCAGCAATGAACAGGAGTTTAACTTTTTTACCGATTACCAGACATTTAATATACCCAAACATCATAATTGACCATAGTTAATCCAGAAACACGTGTCGCACGTGCAAACTGAAATCGGAATCTTGCGGACATGATCAAGTTAACCTATCGTCACAAATGGTATTACGGGGGAAAAGGATTTCGATAAATGTAAATATGAGAAGATGTTGTATGATTGCCTATGAGACAACTCTCCACCAGACAATGTTTAGCTTCTGAGTAGTTTAATGGTGTTTTCGTCTTTTTCCTTTTGGCTGTTGTCAGTCTTTCTTCAACTTAAAAATTTTTATTAGTCCATTTTTATCTTCCTATCTTTTTTATCAACTCGATTACGGTTCAGCTTCCAGGAAAACTTTTTATGCATTGAAACAGGCCAAATAATTAGGTCAGGATAACGTGGAAATATAGAGACAATCGAGGTCAAAGATTAAAGTTTTTTTTACTTTTACACAGAATTTGTCAATAAATAGGCTACAAGAATTTATTTTCTGTGAGTAGCCAAATGTCTTGATGAATTCAAGATTGTTTTACCGAGACAGGCACTCTGAAATATGAAATTCATGAATATTTTCACATCAATGAATAAATAACAGTAATTAAATTTCACACTCAACTTTCATTTAAAAAATGTTTTACATTCATACACAAACACATATATTATAAATATTTCAAATACTCCGACTAGAATGACGGACCACAGTATTGCAGTGTTCTGGGCCATTAAATAATGCCGGGGAAAAGAGTCAATGCTATAAGAAAATAATGTGTCAACATAAAAACCAATGTAAAGTTTCATTTCGAGGGAATAATATACTTGTAAAGGCTTACAACGTTATCAATCGTGTTGGTTGAAGAAAATAACAAATGATTGGTGGGTATAATATATAAATGTTCATACAGGACTAAAGTGTTTCATGAATTTTAAAGAAAAATGTTAATCTTGGTCACTAAATATAGAATGGGATATGTTCAATTTCTTTCAATTCAGACAAATAGTATTTATACCTTTCACATGGGTTTGTTATATTTTATTTACATAACAGACAGTCCCATATTTAAAGACAAGTTACCTTTAAGATTTATCAAAGTTTTGTCAATTATAGTTTCTATTGCCATTTCTTCAGCATTAACAACGTTCAAAATACAAAACAAAGAGGGGTTATCTTTCTTAGTACACATAATGCTGAATACTGGAAGAAGTTTTCGAACACAAACATCAATTAGTGTCTAATATATGTCTATAACTATCATACGGACATTTAACACTGACAATATATTAAATCTTATATAAGCACCGTAATCATGCTAGTCCAATTTCAACCTGAAGTTCCACGATATCCATCAGACATAGTTTTCCTTGTTTTTCACCACGAAGTATTTGGTCGATGTGAGAGTTTCTTGGTCTGAAGTCAATATCGTCTTTACATTTATCCGATATCAAAATATCCAAAGCACTCGTCTTACCTTTGTTTGCAGACGATTTGGCACGCGAGAATAGAGATCCAAAAAATCTCTTTCTAAATTCATCGACATCTTCGTCATCTTTTTCATCACGCAATTCCTTTAATATTGACGCTCGAAGCTCTTCTCCGTGGACTTTTGGACCGGAAGTAAGCTCCGGTAAATTGATATGATCCATAGGTTTCACATCTTCTATGACTACTCCCTGAGACATTTCAGCATCATTGGACATCGATTGAGGACTTGGTGTACGAGACGATTTAATATCATTACCTGAATGCTGAAGAAATGAATGATCATAGGACAGATTGCGAGCGTGAGATCTCTTCTTTGGAAGTCGTTCAGCGTGTTTCGGTATAACTTTCACGTCTGAACTAGGAGTAGTATCTATTGAATCACTAGATGGATATGTATTTGTGGCTGTGTATGTTTGACTAGATTTCCAGTATGGCTGATACTTATGTTCTGGTGATTTTCTTTGACTCATATCTTCACCGGAATAGTTTGTGAAAGACCTGAAAGGGTCAGTTGGTCCACCGTAACCATAGAGATTTGTATCAGACGACGACCGCGATATATTCTGTTTATATTGTTCTATCTTTCTCCGTTTAGGATGAAAATGGTCTTGAACACTGTCACTTTGTTCTTGTAATCGCTTCTGAAACTGGCTTCGTGGATAGTCACCCGAGCTAACCGTTTCACAACGAGGTCTGAAACCTGCGTTAATCTGAGAGTCATTTGAATCCAGTGACAATATATGTTTAAGAGGACAAGAACAGTTTGTGAATTGACAGATTGGCTCTTCCATGTCTATATTAAGAACTTTCTTTTCCATTGCAGATTCTCGTTGACTTAAGTCGAGGGGCTGTTCCATATCCTCCACGACCTCTCGTGAATGGCGGAGAAATTGTGACAATGGACTGCTGTATGTGGAACCTGTAAATATACATAACATATGTGAATGGCGAAGAAATTGTGACAATGGACTTTCATTTGGAACCTGTAAATATATACAACACATGTGAATGGCGGAGATATTGTGACAATGGACTTGCATTTGAAACCTGTAAATATACACAAAACATGCGAATGGTGGAGATATTGTTGTATGTGGAACCTGTAAATATATGCAACACATGTGAATGGCGGAGATATTGTTGTATGTGGAACCTGTAAATATATTCAACACATGTGAATGGCGGAGATATTGTTGTATGTGGAACCTGTAAATATATACAACACGTGAATGGCGGAGATATTGTTGTATGTGGAACCTGTAAATATATACAACACACAACAATCCTTGATAAAATTTTACATATCAACATGGTCCGAAAAGGGGGGGATTCAATGTCAAGGAAATGAACACACAGTAAAAATAAATTTCGGATTATGAAAGTTAAATATCCCTCATGTACTGATCCTCTATTGGTTATAAGCATCTTGATCTATTTGAAAATGTTTAATTAGTGTTGTATTTTCATAATGTCTTTTGAAAAACCTAATGTTTGTCTAGAAAATACATTCATTTTGTATTAATACGGTAACGAAATCGGTCTTCAGTTTGCTATAAGTGCATCCCAAAAATGATTCTGTTTACAGTTATTAGTTCTTGTTTGAAGTTTTTAGTTTTCATGTGTGTAATTTTTGGCACATGATGAAATTACATACTTTTTGTCTTTACGTTCACTTTTCCGACAATCATTTTCAATGTAGATATATTTAAACATAACTTATTAATTTGGATTTAACGTCCACATTTCAACTCGAGGTGGCTGCAAACATCCCACCAACTCAAACAGAGAACCTGTATGCGCTGTTAGTGTTGGACTTGCTGCCAGACGGGAAAAGTCCACATGCCCATATTTTTATAACAAAAGTCAATCTTTTAGATGAAAACAGATTCGATAAATTGGGCAAATCCAAATAAAGACAAGAAACTTACAGTATCAATGAATTTATAGGGCAAGCAAGTTGAGTTGAGGCAGGAATTTTACCTTCCAGTTCCAACAGGTTATTAAAATGGTAATAAAAATGTTGAAGTTTTTTACATAATGTGCAGAGCGTTATACTTCCCAAATAAGTATTGAACATTCCAATTCCAACCTCGGTATATGGGTATGGACATTCGGTATATGGGTATGGACATTCGGTATATGGGTATGGACAATCGGTATATGGGTATGGACATGTTCCGCGCCTGAAAACGCGCGCCTCATGCTTTGACACTGGTCTTACTGTAAGCAATGTCCTGGTCACCATTATTTACATGTTCAAAACATTTTACCTACAAGGCCAACATAATAAATGTTCGAGTTTATAGTTTCCTAGACAACGCTTTCTATGCTTAAAAATATCTACTACCCATTTGTTTTTAATGACAATTTTTGTAATAAATCGAGGCAAAATTGTAGATGGTCCCCATATACTCAAGTTAAAATCAATCAGGAAAAAATTCAACCTACGTACCTTTTTTTTTCTAAATGAGGAAACCATAAACACGCATTTTTCTTGTTGCTATATATATATATGACCGCTGTTTGACTCTTCTTTTTAATTTCTTAATGCTTACTGAATCTCTTTGTTATTATCCGTAATGCTAATATTCTCCTGTGCGATCATGAACTTTAAATACAGGGGCAAAGAAAGTACACATATATTTATGATGCGTAACATGGATGTCTTTATAACGTATTAGCACATATAGTTCATAAATTATATTGGTATTGTTAAATGTTTCATCGATCGATTGACCGCGCTTTGACCTCTATCTGAAAGGTGAAAGTTTTTTTTAAACGTTGATATCATAACCTATTGTAATTATGCATAAAAAAAGGAAAAAAAAATGCTATTAGAAAAATAATGAAATATTCTAGATATTCCTTAAAGGATATTTAGAATTCTGAATATTTCACACAATGTTTAACGTATGAAATGTTTTACATTGGAAATTGATTAAAAATGGTACGAAATAAAGGAAACTTAGTGAAACTTGAGATTATAGATAAAAAAAAGAAGAGTAAATTGAATTCCGAAGAAATATTAATTAAAATTTATATTCAGGATAAACACACACACACACTCACATAATCTTTTATTTTTATGTTCACTTGATTCTTGTTTTGTTGTTGTTGGTTAAATAATATGACTTATATTGTAAATAAAATAGAGAATGGAAATGGGGAATGTGTCAAAGAGACAACAACCCGACCGAAGAGCAGAAAACAGCCGAAGGCCACCAATGGGTCTTCAACACAGCGAGAAAATCCCGCACCCGGAGGCGGGCTTCAGCTGGCCCCTAAACAAAAAATGTGTACTAGTTCAGTGAAAATGGACGTCATACTAAACCCCAAAACATATAAATGAACTAAAATTAAAAAAACATACAAGACTAACAAAGGCCAGTAATATGCTCTTTGCGAGCCCTGAGGCGAGCCCATTTAATGGAAATAAAACATCTTTATAATCAAATGTAAAAACATAATATAGATATTTATGCCTCCACATCAGTATATCTATATTCATTATCTGTATTATAATATATGAATTAATGTACATGTATATTTATGTTGAAACAAATGGTCATATTTATTCATTTACACCAAGATAAATGAAATTGGATACCCTGCATGTATCATGCCATTCAATTGCATATGGTCAAATCGATGAAAGACCCCTCCCAAATTATTGAAAACTATCTTTCTACATTGACAATATCTTGGTGTAAATTAGATACACCCATTCGGGCTAAAACCCTCAAGGTGTATCTAATACTCTGAAAAAGGGGGGCGTTCAGACCACCCTTTCTTCTCAAAAATAATAATTACACGTAAATCTTTAACTAAATATGAATTACACAATAATTATTAGAACTTTTCCAGTTGAGTCCCCTAAAAATTCCCATTAAAAAGATTTCTAGATGAGCACCTGTTTATATTAAAATGAAGACATATCATTTACCTCTTGTTTGGTCATTTAGGTCCATATTAACATCAGAAAAATGCATCACTGATATACAAGTGTAATCATCAGTCCACACACTCAGAAAATGTAACAAAATGTTTCTTAACACCTCAGTTCATCAGTCGACAATAATAGCATACATTTTAAGTTATGACAAGTTGTTATTGCTTTGAATCGTTCTTATACACATTTAATCGACTCGCGAGTGTGTATGTGTATAAATGTATAAATATCGGACAACGACCGCAAGTAGGCGGTGAACTTATAAACTTATTGATGATTGTTTACGGCTCTCTTGGCCTTTATTCATTCACACATACAACAAAAGGACGAAAGGCTACGAGGGGTTATTTAAAGGTGAACACTTTTGGATAAACCATTCTTACAGTACAGTTAGTTACACACAGTTAAGCTATTTTTAGAAATGTGTAATAAGTGTATACCAACACAAAATGGTCGCAACTATTTGGCAGTCTTAATCAAGCGTGCATTACTCTGGGAGAACGGAGGACAAATTATATTTCTATACAATGTAATTCTACCAGTCCAGGCGCACATCCAGTCGGGAGGTATAAGATGATAATTATATTTCCGAACAATGCAACGCATCTATGACGATCTATAAAATATAGAATGTGAAGGCAAATCTGGAACCAATTTGGTCAAATATTTATGTATAAGTCCCGGGCCAAATGTACCGATTCTATATTCATATATATAGAAAATATTGTCGTGAATTTAAATTTAGAGAACGGAAACGAAAAATTCAGCATTTTTTCCATTTCTAAAGGGCATAATTCTAGAACGGTTAAGGTGACGCCACCAAAATTCAAACTTGATCTGTGTTTTGAGGTAATAAGCATTGTGCATAAGTTTCATACCATTTGGTTGAGGCAAACTAAAGTTAGAGAACGGAAACGAAAAATTAAGCAATTTTTCCATTTGTAAAGGGGCATAACTCTAGAACGGTTAAAGTGATGCCACAAAAATTCAAACTTGATCTGTGTTTTTTGGTAATAAGAATTGTGTATAAGTTTCACAACATTTGGTTGAGGCAAACTAAAGTTAGAGAACAGAAACCAACTTTGAGACGTACGGACGGACAAGGGTAAAACTTAATGCCCCCTCCGCTATGGCGGGGGCATAAAAATAAAGCCTTTCCTATTTTTCAGGTACTGTTCCCATCCGAATACAGTTATGTTTTTAATATTGACCGACTTGTATTTCATTACTGTTAATAAACATCACATTCCTCGTATGTACATACTTTAAAAATGTTTATTAAAAATTACGTAAACTTTACTTACCCTTCAACATTTTGAACAAGGTTTAATGAACGAAAACATTCCAAGGTAAACAATAAAATACACATGTATACTTATTTAAATAACCATTGCTATCAGTGAACTATTCACCGGCCAGTGTACCTGGCAATAATGTGAAGAAAAGTTTAGTAGGTCAATCTTGTGACGTCAGATAAAAGTTATATACATATATAAATTAACACATAAATATCATGACGTTAAAAAAGTCTTCAAAAGTGGGAAAAATAAAAGATCAATGTGGTACTGATTTTATTACTCTGATTTTTGTAAATTATTAAAAAAAATAATTCTTTGCGATATTTATGTATGTCGAAATTACGAGACGAAGCGGATTGCACATGTCTGACAATAAAATAGCAGTTACAATTTACTATATGTTGCTTTGTTCAATTTTTTGTTCACTCTCTTGGATTTGTTGTCTAGGTAACACACCTTTTATGAAATAAATTTACTTTTTTAAATCTTAAAAGTAAATTAAAAGAAAGCATTTCAATTTATTTTTTAAAACAAAATAATTAAGGTACGATCATTCTTAATCTTATATTTTATTATCATCATCTTAAGCAAATATTTTGTAAGCTTTCGAAACAGTGGTGGTTAGCGAAATATTAGACGTGGGCGCAGAAAAAAAAGATATTTGAAACTTTACTCCTCTCAATCTTGAAATATATTGGTTTTCAAGTCAGTAAGAAAGATAATAAAAGGTGATTAGCCGGTCAACTATTATTCATGTACAATGAATGTGAACTTGGTTTATTTAAGTTCGAAAATAAACATAATTGCATTGATTATTAACACGTCTGTCATCGTGTGAATATAGTTGACAACGTAAGAGAGAACATTTCATAGAAGTCACTAACAGTTATTCAACTAGAGGCTCCAAAGATGCCAAGTAGCTCACATATCAAAACTAGTATATTTGGATATAAGAAGATGTGGTATGAGTGCCAATAAGACAACTCTCGGTATAAATATGATATTTTATTTTTCCAAATTAGGTTCCCAGGGAGGCATACACACATAACAAATATCATCGTTACAACATACAGTATTTTACATGACATTCATATATAATACACCTAAAATATTGATATAAAGTTATACAGGCTATTATATGTTAAATAAACAAAAGTATTTAAGAGTTGCTACTCCAGAGATGTGGCAAATGTCCTCTCACTTGATTTTATTTGCAGTAGTTTTTATTTTATAATATTTTTGCTGGAAATGTATAAATATAATTGACTGTTTAGCTGCAACAGGTACCAAGGGACGATGCTCTAGGATTGTGAGCTTAAGCTCTAACAAACCTCCTCGTATCTGATGCAGAGAAACAAACATAAATGTAACAAAAGTTCCAGTTTATTCACAGCAAATAAATTATACTTCAATAATAGGTATTGAGAATAGTGTAGGTTTCCCTACTGCAACAGACACCAAGGGGCGGTGCTCAAGGAGCTGTGTTATTTACACAGTCCTCCTCGTGTCTGAACCAGAGAAAGCCACATGATTAACAATTTTTAGAAATAAATTTACCAGCAGCAGTGAGAATTGACTTATCTTCTGTGTTCATAAGCCATATCAGTTTATCTCTTGAGTTAAGAGTTAAAAAATTGGGGTAACTTTTATTTATTTCTTGAAATAGATGAATGCGGTCATCATTAAATTTAACACATTGAAATAGAAAAAGATATTCATCCTCCACATCTCCGGAGTTTACAACGAGTACAAGTTCTGTCATTTAGGAGAGTACCCTGATACCTTCCGGACTCAATTCTTAAGTGGTGTGATGAAATTCTGAGCTTTGTTAAGCTTTGTCTCTGTTCATAATTCCCCATAATGGAAAGATATTTTTCTCTTCCAAATTTGATTTAAATGTAACATAAGTTCTAAGTTTACTATATGATCACGTAAATAATGACCTCTTAGAAATACCCTTATACACAGTTGTGTTCGAGGAGAATAAAGTATTTGTTGTTGTTAATATTTATCGTCACATTTAAGCTGTCTTTTTCACAATTTGAATTTTTGACACGTGGAATCGAGATTTGAAATTGAAGCGAGATCACATATTTACGAAACGAGTTTAATTTTACGCACGCAGACTAATATAGCATTTTATCTTAAAACAAATATTAGTTGAGTTTTACATCTGAAAGGTCGCCTTTCTACAAATTTAATTCTAATAAATCCAGGACTCATAAGAAACTGAATCGCTCACCTGGTAAAAAGATTCCTGTCATAGCTGAAGAGAGTATACGATAAAGAACAAGAGCCATGTTGAACTCTTCACCAGGACAAAAATAACATTTTATTTCAAAGAACCTGCATGATTTTATATGAATTAATTTCATCTCATTTTCTTGAAGTTGTAAATATTGACCTCCACTGACGGTGAAAATTTCCGGTCGGTACCAAATTAACAAACTTGTTAAAGACGTTAAAAGAACCGATCTATCAACTCGGGTTTAAATTTGTTCACTGCTGGTTTTTTTTAGAAGATCTTTGAAATCTAAATTAATCTTGTCCCTCTTAGGTCCCAATGAGCCTTATTGACTATTTGCCAGGACCAATGTAACAAAACTTAGAATGTTTAAAAACATGTTTGCATGGCTTTATCTCAATTCACTTCATAGGTTCTTGTAAATACAATCTAAATCTAATTTTACACAGGATTCACACAGCAGGCAGTCAGTTTGGGTTTCTTGTCAACACCGAAGGTAAGATTGAACTCCACAGAAAAGTATCCGTCAAGTTTCTTGCAAATTGATCCAACGGTTCTTCATAAGACGTTTTCAAAGTCCGAATAGAAACTAGAATAGATCAACCAAGACGGCCATATGTGTCGACTGATTGGCATAAAAATTACAACACTTGCAAAAAAACTTGGCAATGAACATTTCTGTCAAGTTTGGTTGCGTTCTGTTCATTGATTCTCAAGATTAGATCAAAATGTGAAATTTTAACGGACGGAGAACGGACGCCAAGTGAACACAATAGCTCAAGTCGGCCGTCAGCCTAAGTGAGCTAGAACCTACCTTATATTATATTGCCAAGAGATAAAGTACTACATATTGACATATATATTGTTTAAATGTATCATAATATATTATGCACAGAACCGCGTAACTGAAGTCAACGAACGGTCAAGTGTGACTTTAAAGTTCCGTTTGCATGAATAAAATAATAAACTGCTTCGCTGAGCGCAGCTAGATACGCCCGCAGAGGTCCAACCCTGAACAGTTGGGGCAAAAATGGACACAATATTCAAGCTTGATTCAGGTCTGAATTTGGATTGTAATTAAATATTTGACATATTATAGGTTTCTGAATAAATGTAGTCAAAGAACTTGAAATTGGTTATATGAATTGAATTTATATTCAATTAAAGATTTCTTGCTGTTGTGCAATACTTAGTAAATCTGTTGTCAGACTATAAACAACTAAAGTTCAATTAATTCTCAATGTCATATTAGAAATTTATGAAAATAAAAAGGGGGCTTACATCAATAGATATAAACAATTCACCAAAGTTTCATGAGAATTGGTGACAGCATTTTTGAGTTATTGCCCGAAAACTGAAAAATCACCCCTTTTTTTAATGAATAAAACCCCATAACTCAGAAATGTAAAATGTAAAATTTATAAAATTCTTAAGGGAGCTTACATCAATACAAACAAACAATTCACCAAAGTTTCATAAGAATTGCTGAAAGCATTTTTGAGTTTTTGTCCGAAAACCGGAAAATCCCCCTTTTTTTTATGAATAAAACCCTGTAACTCGGAAACGTAAAATCTAAAATTTATAAAAATCGAAAGGGAGCTCATGTCAATAGATATAAACAATTCACCACAATTTCTTGCAAGTTGGTGAAAGCATTCTTGACTTATTG